AGGTACTAGATTTATAAAGACTTTAAATGAGTACAAAAGGTCACTTGACTTGGTCAGATTGACCGACCCAGTGTCGAGAGAGTTAAGGGACTGATGGTACAAAGAACAGGAGGCCAAAGATTCAAAGGGAGTTAGGGTAACAGCATAGAGAACAACATCAAGGTCCCATTAAGGTAGTCTAGAAGGACAGGGAGGGTGATATAGGTGAAAGGAATGAAAGAGCATAACAAGAACTGAGAATGTAATAGCTCGATAAAAACAGGAAAACCAAAAAGTAGCTGAGAGAGATTCCCACTAACCAGTAATAATGAAGACAGAGAAGCCCTTGTTGAAAAGTTATGTGAAGAACCCAGAGAGACGTGGAACAGAAGGACAAGATGAGAAGGATCGAAGCAGAGACCAGTGGCAATAAATATGTCATTTTCACTGATAAACATCTAAGGAAGATAGGCAAACTGAATAAGACTGCAAGAAGGCTAGATGTGAAGAGATTCCCAACCGTCATGCCAGGGAACAGACAAATCCCACATAAGAACCGGAATGATGAAACGACTAAATCAAGGAATATGTATAAGGCTCAAGAAGAAGAGAGCAGGAGAGTGGAAGAGTAAGATTTGGGGAAGAAGTTAGAAGCCTCAGTAGAGGAAAACACGACTTAGCTGGCCAATAGGGCACTATCAGAAGGTCTCAATAAGGAGTGTCTCAAAAGAGGGAAAGAACTCAATGGAGGAGACAAGTAGGGAGATAAGCATAAAGGAAAAGATTGGACCGCATCTACCACCAGTACTGGTGGATGTGGAACAGGAAACCAGAATTAAGGAAGCTTAGCATTGATATAAATGGAAAAGGTATCAATGTTAGGAGTGCCTTGGCAGAATAACGCCCTTGAAAAATATGACGACTGAGGGATCACTTCATGGAAAATAGCTGGTCCGGTCAAGAAAGACAATCTGTAATAAGATTCTGAGCACCTGGAAAATGTCAGATCACATGACAGACTCATAAAGAATGAGTCCAAAAGAGAAGGTCAAGGGTTCAAAATCACTGAGAGCAAGATGAAGTGCCCCCTGACAATTGATGTAGGATACCATAGTTGAGTTGTACAAATCGATTATCACCAAATGACCACATACAACTGCAATAAAATTATCCAAATCCTGATGAACTGTTATGAGCTCAAATGAAGAGTCGATTCCTTCTGGTTTCATTGACCCAAAATCTCAGAAGAGCTAAAACAAGTGTCCCAACCTACCATGGAAGCATCTGTAAAAAGACAAAGATCTGGATATAAGAAAGAAAGAGGAACGCTCACTGTAGTATTGGTTCTGTCAAGCCACCAGGCGATATCATTATAAAGGGAAGGGGAAAGATGAACAAGGTAGTCTGAGAGGTTCCATTAATCATGTAGAGTCCACTGTAAATAATGCAAGTGAGCACAACACAAGGGGTTCCACAGAAGTACCCAAAAAAGAGAGAACCTTTTTTGCACAAGAAGAGAAGGAGAGGATAGGGCCGTGGAAACCAAAGTCTCTATGTATGCTGCTGAGTTAGGAATGGAAGAACACATACAAAGAACCAGATACTGGGTTGGTGTGAGATGAAACTTCTTCAGCTTGACCTGCCAATCTAGATGAGCCACCTCCCAAAGAAAGAGAGGAGTATGATTGGAAGAGACCTGTCAGGGTGGAGCTAAAAGAAGCGAGTTGTCCATATAATGGTGGAATCTCAATTCCAAGCTATGAATGTGACAAGCAAAGGCACACACTACATGACAAAAAATGTATGAGGCCAAAGGAAGACATCAGATCTGATAAATTAAACATTGATGTACAAACCAAAGGTAAAATCTGAATGCTGGGGAAATGGAGTTGTGAAGATAAGTATATGAGACATCCACCTTGGTCATCCAAAGCTCTGTGTAAAAGGAACACCAGAGAGTGAGAAAACGCTACATGGTAAACCTAGGAAGGTTAAGAAACTGGTTGAAACATGAAAGATCTATGACTAACCCCTAGTTATATTGGGAACAATAAACAGATGGGAATAAAATCCATGAGAAGGGTGAGAAATCCTTTCAATGGCATCCTTGTTCAAAAGGTCTAATATTACCTAGGAGAGATACTGATGATATACAAGATCCCCTGGATGAAAGAAAACAACAGGAGACAAGGGAGGAGGAGGAGGGGGGAAAATGAAGGGTAAGGCCTACTGATAGAACTTGTAGCACCCAATGGTGAGCCACAAAGATAATCCATAGATTCACAAATTGAGACAAACATGTTTCCACTGTTCCTGTGCCTAGAGGATAGTCACTGATGTGATGACATTGAAACCTATAGATAGTGGAAGAACAGATGGAAGAAGAGGAATTTTGTATAAGAACAGGAAGCAGAAAGGAGTCAAAAGGATAGAAGGCTGCAACTGGAAGAGAAGGAACTTGGTAAAGATGGGACACAAGGGTAATCAAATAAAAATGGTACCACACAGCCTCAGCTCATGACTACAAAGGCTCAGGTACCCCATCAAAATCTCATTGATGAAGGAAAGGAGCCAGACAAATAGCCCTGAGATAAGAGAGAGGTAAACATACTTGGAAGAAAGGTTTCCATACCAAATCCCAGCCACAGATTAGCCAAGTAACATGGGACTAGGCAAAGGAAGAATAATGTCCCAACACAGAAAAAGAAAGATGAATTTCCACCAAAATCCCTTCAGGGGAATGGTGGATTTTTCCATAAAGAGATTGATGGAGGATGGATAATGTAAAAGGGTTGTGAGAGTAAGGCAAAGGAATGAAAATTGAGCTTGAGATAGGCTGACAGAGGACAATGAATCAGAACCCCAAGCTTGAAGAAGAGAATCCAGAGTTTGGGAGTCCAAGGAAAGGGTTTCAACTCAATTGTAAGCCAAGGCATATGTGAAAATAGTTGAATAGGAAGAGGCACACTGGCACAAGAGTGAAGTTGAGACAAAAAAAATTTCAGCATGGGCTCAGATATCAGGGGAAACATAATATTCTGAAGAAAGGGCTAAAGAAGAAAGGAAAGAATAATAAAAAATAAGAGATTGTGGGAAAAGGTAACATATCTGAGAAAAAATATATGGAAGGATGTAAAATGTTGAGGGAGATCCATATCTGCACTGGAAGAATTGTTTGCAAACTCAGAAAACAAGAAAGACTGCCTAAAATCCAGGTCTTAATGAATGGGAATTAAAGGAAGAGAGAAGGCCGTATCAAGACCCAAAAAAGGCCCATGCCACATACGAGACTTCACAACTTGCCACACAATAGCCGTCACATCAGATAAAGGAGTGCCCAACACCACTGTGGTAGTCTGTCTAGAGTGAGCAGTTCAGATGTTCAACACTAGACAGTGTGGAAATGACTGTCTCTGTGTAATTCATGTTGTGGAAAATAAGGGCCACATTATGCAGAGGCAGAACTGTTTGAAAATAAAAACAAAAAATATTTCCACAACAGTTTTGTAAATAATTCAACTAAACATTGATGTTGAGAAATCTCATATGAGCAAAAAAAGACATGTCTTTACACATGAGTATAGAGTGAGCCAGCTGCACTCTTACTGGTGGAGGGTCATTGCATCTCATTTGCATGCAACAATGCAGCAAATCACGTAGAAACACATTAGATTAGATAGGAGCCTCAAAGCTAGTGGATAGTGAAAAATTTCACATATAAAGGGTAGCATTGAATTGGGAAAGCTAGATGTGAAAAGAGGTTATATATTGCATCTGAAACAGTGTAAAGAAATAACTACCTTGGTAAAAAGAAGTACTTTGTTTACAGTGTAAGGGTTACTTTAAAATTCGGTTAAATTATTTTATCCATAAGTAATAACAGATTAAAGTTGTTTTGAATTTGGAGAATTAATTGTAAAAAGTCAAGTGTGATAAAACTTACTAGAATAATCTAAGTTATTAAGCAGCAACAATTAAAGATATAAACTAAGAATTACTGAAATTCTTAATCAATTAACCAAACACTTAAAATATTATGAAGGACAACTTTTTATCTTAATGTTTTTATAACAAGAAGATTTAATGTTAATCAAATATTACTGGGATAAAAGTAGGAAATGATAGTAGTACAAAATAGCTACAAGTTGTGGTAAACAGAATAATGCCAATATTTCAAATAAATATGCTTTCATAATGAAACGTAACATACGAGTAAGATCATGAGAGTTACATTACCTTTAACACTTTCTTCAGAACTGGAAACTGAGTAGGAACTGTAAGAACCTTCACTGCTGCTACCTAGAAGAAAATTAATGCAAACTGAGATATTGTATAATCATATGTTCAAAGCAATAAGGTACCAATAATATAACATACACACACAACAAGAGGCCCTTCAAGTCATGTTTGCAGACCCACTTTTAAAAAGAGCGAAAAATTCAAAACCACCCTTTATTTTTTAGGAAATCATTGGTTCCCCTCTCATGTTCTTGTTAAACATTTACTTCCACTAGCAATTCATTCCATAAAACAATCACCCTGTTAGAAAAATAAAATTCTTAAATGGAGCTTAGTCTGTTTTTTTTTCTGTCAAATTTTATACTGGTGTCCTTTCATCCTACTGTATTCAGAGTACAAGTAAATCAGAGGCATATATTCTGTTGATCTCCTAAATAATGTTGTAAACTTCAGTATGACCAACTCTTATCATTCTGTTCTCCAGAGAAAATAAGTTAAAGATATCCCAACCTATCCTATAAATTAACTCTTTCATACGTGGGATCATCCTAGTAAAACTCCTCTAAACCCATTAAAAAAACCAATACCTTTTTAAATAAGCAAACCAAAACTTTACTCAGTATTCCAAGTGAAGCCAAGCTAGTGATTAGTAAAGGCAGATAATTACTTCTTTTCACTTGTAATCAATATGACTATAAATACACTAAAATTCTATTGGCTTTACTCTTAGCAACATAGCACTGCCCTAATGGCTTGACTGACTTATCCATCACTATGCCAAGACTCTTCTCTTCAGTCACACTATTGAGTTGATTTCCATCTATATTAAACATATGATCCAAATAATGATAATCCAGTTGCATTACCTTAAAGGTCAGTTGCCAAATATTTGTCTGACTAACCAATTGATCCAAGTCATTCTCTTGTACCTCAGCATCCTCAATAAAATTTAAAATACCCAAGAGTTGCTTTAACAGAAAACATTATTACCTTACTAATTATGTCTCATATATAACATTAATAGAAAAAAAAAAAAAGTAAAGGCCCAAGCACCGACCCCTCAGATTTATTTCTATACACAGAAAAATTTAGAGCTACATAATTATTTTGAAGACATGTTAAATGTGAAAAATAGTCATATTTGGAAGTATTACTTGATTATACTTGAGGACTTGCAATAAGTTATGAATTTTAGAAAGATATGAACAAAAGGGTAAATGAATAATTCAGTAATTTTCAAACATTAGCAGTTTTTGCTAATTTGGATAGCATAAGTGATGTTGAAGAAAAAGGAATTAGAAGATGTCAGAAGTGTAAAAATCAATTCCATAATGTTTAAATCAAAAGCTTAAGGTATGAGAGGGAAATCTGTAGTTTTTGTAATTTTTAATGTAGATGGCCTATATTTTGAAAGCTAACAAAATTTATTATGAAAATCTATATCCAGATAAATACAGAACTATAAAGAGAAATTAATTTATATAAGCTACTTAAAGATCATAAAATATTATCTCTAAAGCTAATTCAAAATTTGTATAAATTAATTACTTATAATAAGGCCAGCAAATTTGTAAACATGTGAAAAAAAAAAACCAGGAGTTTACAGTTACACAACTGAGCTTTAGAAATATTTCAAACTTTTTGTTTTGGAACATTATCTGATTCTGTGTAAACTTCTATGCTCTCTACTACATAACTTTATTTTATCAGTATACTCAGTGAGAGAGTCCCCTACTATGTAAACTTCTTGATCCTCGTTGCAAGCATTCAAAAGTTCAAATATAGTACAGATTTGTATCCGAATGCTGACTGAATCAGCCTAACTAACCTTCCTGTAGACTACTAACTGATATATGAAAATTAATTTATAAAAGTACTAAGTTTAAATTGATAAAATACCACTATATAAAAGTAAAATAAAATTACTGGAACATTCAAATTTAAAACAATAAAATACAATACATGAATATTAGTTTACAGGAACCTTCCACATTCAAAGTAATAAAATATCATAAGGTGCTTTATGAATTTCCAATTGCAATTCACACATATAATAACTATTAACTCTCTCAACATGGGGTTGGTCAGTTTGACCAAGTCACGTGACCTTTTGTACTCGTTTATAAGTCTTTATAAATTTAATACTTATAACTTTCAGTATATTGGATATATCTTCATGAAATTTGGCAGTATTTCAGTTAATATTACAAGTCTTTCGCATACAAAGTCATATTTCTTAGTAAAGTATTTTTAATAAAATAAAATAAATATTTGTCCATGAATATATTGAGTATTTGTTTTGAACAGTTCATGTGCAAAGTGATTTTCATGTTACGATTAAAAATACATTTCCTAATCTCAAATTTCTTTTGTATAATTCCTAAAACCTCCTAAGTACATTTCAAACATTTCTTTCAGTAACATTTTATATTTTATGTTATTTTCTCTACCCTATCTCTATACAGAATTGGTCAACTTGACAGACCTCATAACCACCAAAAAAAATCAAAATTACCCTTTTTTTCTTTCTAGAATGACATCAAATTGTAACATGAAACTACACTTGTTTATCCTAAGGAGCTTTAAGCTGGTAACAGTATATATCTATTTATAATCAAATTTTATTGTTTTATTGCTCTTTGAATGGTGCCTAACTACTATCCGCACAATTACAAGTTATAAATCACTTGGGGAACGTTCAGCTCACATTACGTTATTGAATTACATTACCCTCGAGCTGCTCGTGTGCATGCCTCATGAAACATTTTTATTATATTATAATTATTATTTATTTTGCATAATCTAACCTTAACTAACCTAAAAAGATCCCTATTTTAGTTTCTTTTATAATAATAAATAAAGAATAAACATGAAAAACAAGAAATAAAGTACTTACCCAATTTTATTTTTTTCTTGCTGTCGATTGATGACGACACTTAACACTACTTTTTTTTATACTAATGATATTAATTCACTAAGTAATTTTTATTTAATAAAATAATGCACCAAAGAATATATTCATAACATGCAAAAAGTAGACAATATCTCCTAACTCTTAAAATTTTTCTGGCCAACTATGTGACAATAGCTGTTACAAATTCATCCAAACTAGTCATTAGCTTTCCTACCAGAACAGAGCTTGTACTCGGAGTGAAATTGACGATTATCTGTTCAGAACACAACATTACACAATATGTCATTTGATAAATGAAAACCTTGGCTTTCTATTGCTTATATGTAATATATAATTAAACATAAGAGTGAACTATTAACAAATCCTGAAAGAGAGGATGTGACAGGAGGGATCTATTTGATAGCTCTGTTACCAAACAAAATTGAAGGATATAAAAATTATGTTTTGTCTGAGCAATTACAATCTTATAGTGAGTAATTTATGTTTAATTTTGTAATTTTTGTTGGGGTGGTGGATAAAATAAAGAAGATGCCTAGACAAAATGTGTCACGTGTGTCACATTAGGGGAAATTCAGAATTTTTTAAAATATTGCCTTGTAGAATTAAGAACTTAAACCTTATACACTATTAAAATATGGACTATTAGGTAAGATTTATGCTATATTAATTGGTATAACATAAACAAAAAGTAGTTCAATAAAATTTTGACTGTAAGACACTAAAACCCTGTGTCATTTTCAGTAAAGAATACCCATGGCAATAGGGTTAACTGTGTTAAAGAATATTTAAAATAGAATGGCCAAACTCACATGAAATTTTTTTGCTTTTTGAGAATGTTAAGACCAAGTGTCTGGCTTATGAATGAGGTGATGCAGATTTTATAATTTTTTGTCTTTTTGATGCCAAGAAAAACAATTACAAGCAATATCTTAGATTATAAACAATATATCATACACATTAAAACAATTAGTTGACAGTTTATGGTCCAAGATATTTAAAGCATGTTGGTGTGTTAGACCTTCTCAACACTGTGAGTAATAGGCATTGTCCATATTTAGATGCATAGACAGAAGCCTTTATTTTATAACATCATAAATCATTTGTTATTAATAAAAATCAAAAATTCTGAATGCAACAGAATTATTACTTTCACACTAATTTTACTTAACAAAGGTTAATTCATGCAATTTATTGAGCTTTATAATTGATAAAGTTCAAAGTTTTTTCAGCATTAATTTACTTCACTGATGGAGAAAACTGCACATATTAACCTGCAAAAAGTGCAACATAATTGTTGAATCAGTGACTCTCTGGAGCTTTCAGAATTTACTTCACTGATGGAGAAAACTGCACATATTAACCTGCAAAAAGTGCAACATAATTGTTGAATCAGTGACTCTCTGGAGCTTTCAGAATTTATTTCACTGATGGAGAAAACTGCACAAACTAACCAAGTCTAACCAATATGACAGTAAATAAATGTATAACTGAATATATTAGTACTTGGTGTGTAAGCAAAGGCTGAAAACCTCTCTCTCACAAATTGCCAATAACTTCTTCTGACCTTAACTATTACATTATCTATAACAAATAGACAAAGTTTTAATTTACCAAATGATGTATATTGCTACCTTGTTCTCAGTAGAAATTTTTACATATTTTGTCTACAAACAGAAATTCAAACAGCTAAAGGAATTTTCACCTCAAGCCCAGTGAAGCAGAATGGGAAAGAACACATCCACCCTACAAACTGAGTGAGGGCTTATGTTGGCTGGCCCTGCACCAATCCATCACCAGACCACACAGGAACCTGACATCTGGATTGGAAGAGCAAAAGACAGCTGTAGGAGTGAACTGTACTACACAGACAGAAAACCACCACACTACTCTCTACTGAGTGGAATTGACCACACTTAGAAAGAATCATCAATAGTCCACCACCCCAACATCTAGGAACTGGTGAGAAGCAAGGACTCTTGTTCTCCACAAGAAGAAAAAGGGGGTGAAAGTGCATTAGAAGCCAGGATGAGTGTATCATTGTAAGACAGTGCAACAAATGACTAAGAAAACCCTATTTTTAAAAGCAGGCCAGCATAAAGTTATAAACTTGGCATAGAGGATGGGCAGGAATTCCTTGTCTGGTTTA